TATTAGTATAGATTTTTATCATATATGAACTGAGCAAAAATGTTTGGCAAATCTCAAATTCTGTATTAATATTAATCTCTACCTCATGAGTATTTTCTGATGTATTTATAGTTATTTTCTGCATCAAATGTTTTAAAACTCTTCATTGCCATTTTCATGTGAATATCACACAAATCTATTAGGTTATCAATGAAACAGAACAGATATTATGCTTTTTTTGGGTCATGTTGCCAATGTATCTTTTCCAAGATGCAATTTAATGCAATTTTTTTTAGTACTTAAATTATCAAGTAATTTCTGACTAAATTTTTCTTGAACTCTTTGTATTTAGGTTCTAACATTGTGGAAATTTCTAGGAATCCTCTGTGTTTGGGAAAGGATGGTGGTTTACTAAGAGGGTCAAGAATGTATTGAAATTTGCTGTTTTGGTAGTTGTTTTGTATGGAAAATAAAGGCAAAAGTAATCATAAGCCTTTGGAGGGAAGGTTGTGCTAGAGGTGTTTTTTAGTGAAATGATTGCCAAAATACTTAAGTTTGAGTGGGCCTACTTATATCAGCAATACTAAAGCAAGAAAGCTGACTTAGTTCTAGATGTTACATAGAAAGAAGAAAACTTTTTCAGCTTCTTCAAACAAATAAACTAACAAAAAATATGCAAGAAACTCTAACCCATATTTTTATATTGGTTCTCATTACATGATAATGAGTTCTTTTTACGTGGCATTGCTTATTTTTATTACGTATTTAAAATTTTTAACTATCCCATTCTACTGGTCTTAAATATTATGTTTTAATTATAAATGGTAATATCTGCTATCTGACTTATGAGTGCTGTTATTTATCCTGTGTATACTATAAATATAGGAGCTTTAATTAGATCCAGAAGAATAGGAAGAAAAAAAATTTAAATCACCATAGGAACTGTTTTCAGAAGTTTGGCTGACAACTAACCAAGCATTTAGGTTTAAGTTCCACAGTCTTTGGATTTTTGGTTTTTCATTTGTTTGTTTTCTTGAGAATTCTAAGTGAAGACTGGACATGAATCACAATTCTAAGAAAACTTCTGAAATATCATTAGGTAGAAAAATGCCACATAGGAATAACAGAAATAATTTAAAAACTCAACTATTTTGAAAGGTGTAGACTACCTCTGGTAAAGAAGAAAATAATCCTTTGTAAACAAAAGTAACTGCTGCTTTAATTTTCACATATTAATGTAGATTCTGAAAGTAAAATCTAGAAGAAAAATTAGAATATTATTTATTACTTTATAATATAAATACCATATCTAAAATATATGATATAGCCAAAGAAGAAAGTGATTTCTATATCTGAGAACTCTAAAATCTAATTTGAACATATCTTTGCCATGGTATAGAAGTTTCTTTGGAAAATAACCCTAGTTTTGTTTTTCTGTATGTTCTAATGAGCATATTTATTGTTGATACACAATTAGTAGTATCTCAGGCGTACTCAAAGTAATTTAATTCACTGTGATTAGTGAGGATGCTGGATATTTGATCAGCATAATTGGTAAGTAATCTGAACCTAATGGGCAAATGTAATACTGCAGTACCAATTGTAGATATCTATTGTTTTTAAGCACACACAGAACATTTACCCAAAAAGTGTGTATAATTAAAGCATTGAGCAAATTTAAATAATTTCAGTGGGTTAAAGTAACAGATTATCTCTTTTGAATTACACTGGAAATCAATTATGAGACAAATGCTAGAAAACTGCTATTGGGAAGGAAAAAGACAGACACAGTTAGTAACTCATGCCCCCCTAAAAATCACAATAAAATTAGAATAAGTTTTAATAATAATGCATAAAATCCGCTGGGATTTAGGTAAGTGAATACTTAGAGAAAAATGTATAGACTAAATTTTTATATTAGAAGCTATCTAATATTGCAAGTTAATGGAATAGAACACAAATCTAAGATAGAGAGTATTTGCAAAGACTGATAAAATTTTCAAAACCCTGTCAAGAATGATCAAGAGAATAAGACAGAAATATAAAATTAACTTAACATATTTATTGAGAAGTTATGTGTCAAGCAGTGTTTGTGTAGTATGCATCAATAAATAAACAGGCAGAAATCACATTTCTCATAATCTTGTGTTAAACAGATGTAATCTCTCTCTCTACACACACACACACAAATATATAATGGAGGCCTGGTGCATGAAATTTGTGCACTGAGTGGGGTGTCCCTAAACCAGCCTGTGCCCTCTCGCAGCCCAAGAGCCCTCGGAGGATGTCCGACTGTGGACATTCTTAACGCTGCTGCGGAGGCAGGAGAGGCTGCGCTCACCAGCCATGAGCCTGGCTTCTGGCTGAGCAGTCCTCCCCCTGTGGGAGTGCACTGACCACCAGGGGACAGCTCCTGCATTAAGCATCTGCCCCTTGTCGTCAGTGCACATCATAGCAACCAATCGTTCTGCCATTGGTTGATTTGCATATTAGGGTTTTATTATATAGGATATACAGAATATATATATATATATATAAAATCTAATAAAAGAGAAACATGCAAATTGACTGCACCTCCACTATGCCCCAAGCCATGCCCACCAGCCAATCAGAGCGACTATATGCAAATTAACCCAACCAAGATGGCGGCCAGCAGCCACAGAGCTGGAGCAAGCAGGAGGCTTGGTTGCCCGGCGATGGAGGAAGCCAAACTTCCCGCCTGCCCTGGCTGGCTGTGGCTTCCACTCAAGGCAACAAAGTTTCAATTATAGAAGATAAATAAATCCCAGATACCTGCTTCCAGCCAGCCTCCACTGGGAGCTTGGGTGGCTGGGGGGCGTGACCAGCCTGCAAACAGCCATCAGCCCCTCACCCAGGCTGGCCACACCCTCTTGGGGTGAGGATCTTCGCTGGGGGGCTTGGCCAGCCTGCAAACAGCCATAAGCCCCTCACCCAGGCTGGCCAGGCACCCCAGGAGGACCCCCTACCCTGAAGGGGGTGTGGCCAGCCTGAAAACGACCCTCAGCCCCTCACCCAGGCTGGCCAGGCACCCCAGTGAGGACCCCCACTCTGAAGGGCTGTGGCCAGCCTGCAAACAGCCATCAGCTCCTCACCCAGGATGGCCAGGCACCCCAGCGGGAACCCCCACCCTGAAGGGGGTGTGGCCAGTCTGAAAATGGCCCTCAGCCCCTCACCCAGGCTGGCCAGGCACCCCAGCGGGACCCCCACCCTGATCCGGGACAACCATCAGGGCAAACCAGCCAGCGCCCACCTGTGCACTAGGCCTCTATCCTATATAATAAAAGGGTAATATG